TATATATATATAATATATATAGGGTTTAACACATATACATAATATACATACACGGTACATTTGTTAGAGGAAGGGAAGAACTTTTAAGATAAAAGAAATGTAGAGAGGTAGGGAGGCAGGCGACTTGAAAGAACTCGGGGACGACGAACGCGCGAAATTAACGAGAGTGAGATCAGGATCGGAGGATCCAAGGATACAGAGGGATCTTATTTGCATCTGCGAGGAGTTAAATGTCCGACGACCCCAGGGGACTCAAGACCTCGGGGATCTTAGAATCCAAGGATTCGAGAAGCCGAGTATCTGTAGGTTCAAGATTCCGAAGATCGAAAGTCTCAAGATCGTAGGACTCGGTGATCTAGAGATCTCAGAATTTCCAAGAATTCGAGAATCCAAAGATTCAAAGACCCAAAACCGGGGGATCCGTCCGCAGTTCTGGTCCGTGGATTCGAGGATTCGACTTGATCCTGGAATCCGAGAGACTTCCACGGAGTCGAATGCCCTACCCGAGTATCCAAGGATCCGACGACCCTCGAAAAAGACGCTGTAGAGCCAAACAAGAAAAAAAAAAGTATCCACGTAAAGTACCACAAAGCGAAAGCAGCACGGAAACGGCATAGAAGTAACAATAACGTAATCACAAAATAACATGACGAAAAAAAAAAATCAGATAAAATAAGAACGGAAAAAAAAAGAAAGAGAGAGAAACGAGTCGCCGGCGACCGGGCGACTCGCCGCGTCGTGTCGGGAAGCCAACAGTTGAAAGTGACTTGTCTTGTGTTGATGTTGCAGGTTCAAAAGCCTGGCACATGCGGCTGACCTTTGACCGGGTGCCAGGCGGCTGCAACCTTCACAGGTGCAAGCTGTGCGGCAAGGTCGTGACGCACATCAGGAACCACTACCACGTCCACTTCCCCGGCAGGTTTGAGTGTCCTCTCTGTCGTGCCACGTACACACGTAGCGACAACCTGCGCACGCACTTTAAATTCAAACATCCCGAAGCGAGAAAGATCGATCTTAATGATTTCATGACGGGCTCGTTGGCGCTCTCAGCGAGCAACGATACTATGAACACGCTATCCTAAAGACGCCGGAAGAGATAAAAAACAAGATAAAAGATTT